GGGTTTAGGGCACATGTCAGGAGCTGGGGGCACATATTAGGAGGTGGGGTTTGAGGCACAAGTTATAAGCTAGGGTTTTGGGCACATGATTACAACTAGCGCTAATGGACCTTTAACTGTTTTTGCTGTCGAAGACTTTTGGCCGAAACGTACACTTGCTATTACTGTCCTTCCTTGAGGTTTTCCTCGACCCTTCTTTATAATTCCTCATTGCTTCAACGTGAACGCAATGCTCGCCATATTGCTCGTAGATAACAAAGACGTTATCGAGGACAACAAAATGCAACCCCGGTTGAGGTTGGGTCTCCAAGAGAACCCTCGTTCAGGATGGGTCTCCTTGGAAGCCGTATCGTCCCAAGCACTAGCGAGATTTCGTGCTGTCGTGTTTAACGTAGGCTGCCATGAGTTACAAATATCACCTTAGAATTTAAACTCTACTAGGATATATGCGGTCGACAGCTCTGAAGAAACCTTCGCAAGAATGTACCAGTGAAGGTCCCCTTACCTGCGACTGCCAAAACAAGGGGTTACGTTTGGCCCCTTACTGTTTAAGGTAAAATTAAAGGTAGTCACCCCTTTGGCGTTCCTCGGGTGACCGGGAGGTTCGCCGTTAGGGGGAAACATCTCGGGGGTGCCACTTCGTGGCACCTCCCCTCTCTTAAGAAGAGGGGACATTCTGAGAATTGAAGCCCACAGGGAGTGCCCATAAGAGCCTCGATAGAAAAGTTATAAATGGCAACTTTTAGAAATTGTTTATAAATGGCAACAATTATTCGAATAGCTCTATTTTAACACATGAGTATATTATACAGTTAACACCTTGTCCTATTCTAAAGGTTGATTTTATAGTGTAAAGAGATAGAGGTTCAAAATAGAGGTCTCTATAGAGATAGAAAGTTGGTAGAATTCGGTATTGATCAGAACATCGGACGCACTTTTCCATATTATGTTAGTCTTTAAACTAGGTATTTTGCAAAAATATTTGTAATAATAATGAAAATACAGGTATTAAACAATTATTAAAAACATCAATTTTGTTGAGCACAGCCTTTTTTTTGTGTTTACATTTGTATTTTACTAACCACAAGAAATTTTAATTTCACTGTTATAGGCTTTAGACGTCTGTCATGCAGGTTTTTTGGGTTCCAAGGAAAATGCATATTGAGGGCCCCAACAAATATCAAAATAATTTGTGTCAAATGTAATGATGTCCACACTTTGGGAGCCCTCTAAGTGGACAGGACTTTGAGTGATTTACTCGGCTGCCTCAGCCTCGGTCGTGGCTGCCTTTGGTCATTGCAGATGCAAGTCCTTCTTCTTCTCTCTGTATTTTGGTGAATGAACATATTAGACCCTAGACATATGTAATGACCCTAGACATGTGTAATGGCTAAATAAAGTTGCATAGTCGAGGTGTGCAAGACTTTGCTGACGCTGCTGACACACATGATGTTGACAAACATGCTGCTGAAACACATGATGTTAACACACATGATGTTGACACACATACTGTTGACACACATGCTGTTGACACACTAGCTGCTGACACACATGCTGTTGACACACATGCTGCTGACACACATGATGTTAACACACATGCCGTTCTTCTTCTCTTCTTCTTATTTTATATGTGAATGGCCCACGATCAATTTATTGATCATTCTGGCTCCTGTGTATGTAGAAGGATTTGCAATTTTTCTGCGCCTGGTATTGAAGAGGATATTTCACTGCTTGCAAGGGCTAATCAGCGAGGGTATCAGGAACTGTGGTTTGGAAGGCCTCAGGCAGTATGACACAAATTGTCAAGTATTGTCGCCTCAATTGTTTTTCATTTTGACACGCATACTGTTGACCCACATGCTGTTGACAGCAAACAGTACGTCATACTATATGACCACGGCAAATTGAAGTTTAAACATCACCAGCAAGACAGGTAGCTTCACTGCTCACTTTAGAGCAGTGGTTCTCAACCTTTCTAATGCCGCGACCCCTAAATACAGTTCCTAAAGTTGTGGCGACACCCAAACACAAAATTATTTTCGTTGCTTCTTCATACCTGTAGAGTATATGTGTTTTCTGATGGGTTTACGCGACCCCTGGGAAAGGGTCATTCGACCCCCCAAGGTGGTCGCGACCCACATGTTGAGAGCCCCGGCTTTAGAGTCTTCGTGTGATTAGACATGGGCAGAATGATGGCACGGGGAAATGACAGGGAGAGTACAGGAAAAGAACAGATTGATAATTTGATTAGCGGGTATCTCCGAAAACTGTAATGAATTGAAATTAAGAAATTCGAACAGGCGCGGCCTGGATGATATATCCAGGTAGATTTATACGGTGTTCTTCCGTCGAAGATCAACTAGGACCATCGAGTCGTCCGGTGTTGGATGACTGATGACTTGTGCGGGTGACTTTTGTTTATATAGTATTATAAGGGCTAAGCTCAGCCCCCCCCCCCCAAACCACACACACACTTTTTTTCCAGAAGCGCCGGTCCTGGTTGTTGGCACGCTTACTGGAGTAGATTTCCTACTTTGGCACAATATTCCTAAAAAATTGTTGACTCCTGATTCAGAGGCTTGGTGAGACCATATTGAACTAACGAACTGCGAATGAGCCCATATGGCAGACAACGTCTCTCTAAAGACATCAAATGATTAGCGTACAAGTTCAAGTATTAATTGGAAGTTTATCCCACACCTCAATTATGAACTAATTTAGCATCACGAAAAATTAGAAATGTGCACAAATTATATTATTCAGTGAGCTTTGACTGTGGAGCGAGAGGTTACAAGATGTAAACATTGCGAGACGTCTTTTGTGTTCTAATCTTCAGTGTAAAATGTATACCTATCAAATCTGTACATGCAGAAATTCAGAACTTTACAATTTGGAATGATGACTTTATTTAAATACTCAATGTTACTTCTATTAGGTGAGCTTCACGATCCTCAGACGCCCTTACTTCCTCCTGCTCAACATTGTGTTGCCAGTGGTATTCCTGTCACTGCTCAATATACTCGTGTTTGCGATACCTGTGGAGTCCGGGGAGAAGATTGGATACGGTATTAACTGTTTAATGACAAAATATTTAATGACAAAATATTTAATGTCAAACTATTTAATCGCCAACTATTTAATGACAAACTATTTAATGACAAACTATTTAATGGCAAACTATTTAATGACAAACTATTTAATGGCAAACTATTTAATGACAAACTATTTAATGACAAACTATTTAATGACAAACTATTTAATGGCAAACTATTTAATGGCAAACTATTTAATGTCAAACTATTTAATGGCAAACTATTTAATGACAAACTATTTAATGGCAAACTATTTAATGACAAACTATTTAATGACAAACTATTTAATGACAAACTATTTAATGGCAAACTATTTAATGGCAAACTATTTAATGACAAACTATTTAATGACAAACTATTTAATGGCAAACTATTTAATGACAAACTATTTAATGACAAACTATTTAATGGCAAACTATTTAATGACAAACTATTTAATGACAAACTATTTAATGGCAAACTATTTAATGGCAAACTATTTAATGACAAACTATTTAATGACAAACTATTTAATGGCAAACTATTTAATGACAAACTATTTAATGGCAAACTATTTAATGGCAAACTATTTAATGACAAACTATTTAATGACAAACTATTTAATGACAAACTATTTAATGGCAAACTATTTAATGACAAACTATTTAATGGCAAACTATTTAATGACAAACTATTTAATGGCAAACTATTTAATGGCAAACTATTTAATGACAAACTATTTAATGGCAAACTATTTAATGGCAAACTATTTAATGACAAACTATTTAAAGACAAACTATTTAATGTCAAACTATTAAATGTCAAACTATTTAATGACAAATTATTTATAGATTATGAGCATGTCACTGAATATCGACCAATGTAACTATCGAATGGTTTTTTAGTTTTTATTTATGCAAATTGATCAGTCGTGCAAGGTGGGGCCGCAGATGAACAGACGTCCACAAAATCGTTGACACCTTTCTGGACAATGTTAATTTATTTTTAAAGACTTTGACTGACCGGCAGTAGCATGACGATCAATTGACTTAATCATTTTTAAAATGTTTGCCTTTGAAAGAATTTGTTAAAATATTGAAGTCGCTCTAAGTTGACAATGTCTCTAACGATGTGAACTATGTGATCTCTTAGTACTTTCAAGACTCGCAGGCAGACGTTATGTCTCAGGAGACTGTATCTCCTGACTACGTTTGAACTTCAGTGGTACACAACATACAACACTGACTTGACGCTTCAGTAGTACACGACATACAACACTAACTTGAACTTCAGTAGTACACAACATACAACACTGACTTGACGCTTCAGTAGTACACGACATACAACACTAACTTGAACTTCAGTAGTACACAACATACAACACTGACTTGAACTTCAGTAGTACACAACATACAATACTGACTTGACGCTTCAGTAGTACACAACATACAACACTAACTTGAACTTCAGTAGTACACAACATACAACACTGACTTGAACTTCAGTAGTACACAACATACAACACTGACTTGATGCTTCAGTAGTACACAACATACAAAACTAACTTGAACTTCAGTAGTACACAACATACAACACTGACTTGAACTTCAGTAGTACACAACATACAACACTGACTTGACACTAACTTGACACTGACTTGACACTAACTTGACACTAACTTGACACTAACTTGACACTAACTTGACACTTACTTGACACTAACTTGACACTAACATGACACTAACTATACACTAACTTGACACTAACTTGACACTAACTTGATACTAACTTGACACTAACTTGACACTAACATGATACTAACTTGACACTAACTTGACACTAACTTGACACTAACTTGACACTAACTTGACACTAACTTGACACTAACTTGACACAAACTTGACACTAACTTGACACTTCACATTCTCAGGTATTACTGTCCTGCTGGCCTTGTCCGTGTTCATGAGTATTGTCAGTGGGATGTTACCAAGGTCATCCACCATGCCCAAGGTCACCATCTACCTCTTCATTTTATTCATCATCTCCGTGCTGACGGTTATCGACAGTATCTTCATCGTTTTTCTCTACCACATGGAAGAGGTCAGATAGTAGATACTACGTCCTTGACCTTGTTTACACGCAAAACACAATTCAATCTTTATTAAATTTAAAAAATATGTTTTTTGGATAAAGTTTGTAAATATCCTAACAAAGATAGAATAGTGAAATTGTTTGAGAATAAAATTATTTGTTTCACTTTCAGAAAGAAGATAAACACCGAAAGGCCCAAGAAAACTACAAGAGAGCGTTCAGCAAGGTGAGGCTACTCCGTAGAGTGGTGGCTACCCGGAAAACGAGCACGAACATTGGGGAGAGCAATGGCGATAAACCCGTTCCCATAGCAACCGTAGAGTCCAAGGAAGAGGAAGTGCCTCCATATTCCCCCGACACGAGCAGTGACGCTGAAAGAAAAGGCGGCAGGAGAATCAACAAGTACAGGCTGATAGGGAAATATATCGACCTGGTGTCTTTTGTCTGCTTCTTCCTGGTATGGTTTGGAGTGACCCTGGGGTTCATGTTTGACCTGGCGTTGTAAGAATGGCCCGCGACAATATACCTGGTTAATAAACAGACATACGATATTCATTGTCAATGTCAAGGCCATGTGTTAAACAATCTATGACTTCGATTTCTTTGGGCATTTTTCGTACGGCAGGCAAATCTTGGATCATGTCCATCTTGTATCATGTCCATCTTGTATCGTGTCCAACTTGTATCATGTCCATCTTGTATCATGTCCATCTTGTATCATATCTATCTTGTATCATGTCCATCTTGTATTATGTCCATCTTGTATCATGTCCATCTTGTATCATGTCCATCTTGTATCATGTTCATCTTGTATCATGTCCATCTTGTATCATGTCCATCTTGCGAAGTTGGGTTCGAAGTGGAAGCCTCACTGGGGGGCCAACAACAGAAGGGAGGAGAAATCGGCAATTACCCAGGTACATGTTTATGTCTTAATATCATATCTCCTTTTTTTTTTAATGAAACAAGAGTTCGGCGCCATTAGCAGGCTTCACTCCTGGCGCAGCTTTTCCTTCCCTTGACCTTTGTCTCTCTGTGTACATTCGGAAATGCCTGCTCGCTATCACTTCTTGTTCTCTTTGTATCATTCAGTGTGATTGTTCATGATATCATATTTTGTGTGGTCTTGATATCATTCTGTGTTTGTTCTTGATATTATTCTGTGTGTGTTCTTGATATTATTCTGTGTGTGTTCTTGATATCATTCTTTGTGTGTTCTTGATATCATTATGTGTGTTTTCTTGCTATCATTCTGTGTGTGTGTTCTTAAAAGGATCATAGTGTGTTCTTTGTAACATTCTGTGTGTGTTCTTAATATCATTCTCTGTGTGTTCTTGATTTCATTATGTGTGTTTTCTTGCTATCATTCTGTGTGTGTGTGTTCTTAAAAGGATTCATAGTGTGTTCTTTGTAACATTCTGTGCGTGTTCTTGGTATCATTTTGAGTGCGTTTGTTATCACTTCTGGTTCCCTTGGTATTTTTTTTTGTTGAAAGTGCATGCTAACTGTAGTTCATTGCTCACGTCTGTCGTTGTCCCTGACCTTTTGATGTGGGTTGACCCTCTAACACAACGGCATGGCCACGATGTCATATCCATATATAGCCATTAGCATTCTGTTTTCCGACTGGTGTCAAGCATATGTCCCTGATAAAAGCGGTTCTCAAGCTCCACAATGTTCACTAAAATCCTAAACTTTTCCGGAAGCTTTTTTTTTTTAATTGTATTTGAATATTTATTAGATGTGAGCCTTTGTTGGAGCTGAAATGATACTGAAAGGACAAATCTTGTTTACTCTGGATAAGTTGTAGACTTTCTTGAATCTATCCAACGCCTCGGATTAGACTGGTGCCTAAAGCTAGTGCATGGGACCATTCCGCCACACCAACTGTACACTTGCATTCTGGGATTGATTTCTAAATCACCGCATCATGGAGTCCAAGTTGACCATTGACACGTAGCAAAGACGTCACCAGGGTCAGTGCCACCCAGTGCGGTCAACTGTTGGTGTCACCTGGTGCGGTAAACGCATGGTGTCACCCATGGCGGTAAACTCGTGGTGTCCCCAGTGCGGTCAAATTTTTTTATAAATTTATATTAACTAACAAAATTAGAAAATTATTACTCAAATATGCCTCAAGTATAGCTGATAAAGTGTCACTAAAACGAAAGCGATAGTTTCCCTTGAAAAGACATTAAGTTGAAGAATGGGCTATTAATAAATGTATTTTTAAAAAAATTATAACTATTGAATGATAATAGACGGCTGTAACAGAAACATTAATTATTAACAACGAATGTACTGAATTTAAAACACGACTTTTATTTTGCAATTCAAAACATTTATTTGTCTTAAAACATATTGTTCCATTATTTAAAATGTAAATTGGAATATATAAATTTACATAAACAAAAGCTACTTTTGAAGGGCATTTTTATGTATTTAAATAAATAAAACATATTTTTTAGTTTCGGAATTCAAAAAATGATTGTTTGTTATCTAATTTCGTATTATTTACCCCAAGAAATAAAAAAAAAAGACAAACAATTTCAAAATTAACTTATTTCCCAGAAAATAACAAATTATTTTCATTGTTTTGAGTGTCTTGTAGACAAGGTATGTTTCAATACTTCAAGTTTCTAGTTCTCTGGCAATGTTTCGAAATGGTTCTCAACGAAGAAAGTTTCCATTGATATCATTAAAATGACTTTTCATCCTACATGGTAATGATGGAGCTCGATCCTTTTGCGCGGGTCAGGTGAGCCCCCTCGCACGACCCTTGACCGGGGAGCGCGATCCCCATGGCACGGGTCAGGCGAGCCTGCCCTCGCCCGACCCCTGACCGGGGAGCTCAATCCATGGGGGTTGCGGACCGCACCGGGTGACCTCAACATTGTTTCTCCACAAGAAGCGCTGTAACTTGGTGGAACATACTATTGAAAAGGCACTTTTATCGTAAGACAAATGTGAAATTTCTGTAGAAAGGAGAGTAATGTTTCACAAGAGATTGGCAGGAGAACAGATAATAGATGCTGGACTCTCTCTGCATGAAGAAGACAGCATGGAGATGCTGGATTGTAGTGATAGCTTTTATTCTGAACCCCAGATCAGATCATCTACGATCAATAAAGTCTCAGATATGTACATGGAATATAAGCCTTTCAACTCGCCGAGTTAAAATGATCTCAGAGGCACTTATTCTCTTAACCTGGCTGCTCGTTTGTTCTTTATTGGTGAAAAAGATGAAAAAGTGCAAATTCCTTTGTTATTTCAGATTGTTACAGTAGCCTATAGCACGTAGACATTATAGCAAAGTGCCTAACATTATTATTTACATAACGTTGTGTGATAGTATCGCGTTTAATAGCATTTAAAACAACAACTTTACGTAATTGAGTTACAATAATACCAACTACGGCATTATTAGATTTCGTTATCATCATATCCCAAATAATAGGGATCGAATTAAAGTGGACTGCAGCTATAAATTTAATACGGTTATCAATTTTTTTTTTTTTAAACTAAGCTTATTTTTTACTTTTTATATTTATTTTTTTATTTTATACAGAATACAATATTTGCACGCAAAAGTAACTAAGTGTAAATGAAAAAAATTTAAAATCATGTGCTCATACAACATATTTACATAATAGTTACTGAAATTCTATTAAGCATTCGTTTCTAGTATACATTATATAACATGACGTATAAATGAATTTGGAATTAAACAACTAATTAATGTATTAGACTTTCTTTATATTTTCTTAAATTATGTTTTTTATTTTCAATCTAAAAAGTGTTTCTAATGCAATGTTTGTGTAAATATGTTTGTGAGAAAAGCCACAACTCTGTGATGCCATAAATGTTTTCTGTATTGAGAAAGAAAAGGTGGACTTGCTGAGTTTTGTTTCTTGTTTTTTTGGATTCTAGTATTGCGTTCAGTTTTATGGCTCTGTCTATATCTACTGGGTGAACTCTACCTGCTTGTATGATTTGTTTAGGTGTAGATTTTGTCTGTAACATTGTGTTGCATGTCATATATAAATGTTGTTCTGCCTCTTCAATTAGCCATTGTCCTGCAGAAAAGACATTGTGTTCCTACCTCTGCCCTACTTTATTCCTGATGAGACTGGTGTCTTATTGTATATGAGTATATATGTTATGTCTTTGTCTATATTTCCAATTTCTTTAACGTGTTATTTTCAATGCACTTTAAGTGATTGTGTTCCATAACTATGTGTCCATGTTATTCTATTGTAGAGTGGTGTTCCTTGTTTCTTTATTAAATGTGTGTACATGTCTTTTCTTTTTTTTTTTGTATAAGTGTTTCGTTGCCTTTTAATGCTTTGATATATGCCATGTGAAATTCCGATTGGGTACTCCAATTTTAATTCACGCAAAATTTAATGTTATTCACATTTCCACATGATTTCACATTTTTACTAAAACAGCTCACAATTCCCCCCAAAAAACAAATGTTCCTTTGAATTAAAACATATTTACTTCTTTTAAAGTCCTGCACTCCTGTGGTGGCCAAACTTGAACAATATCATCTTAATCATCTAGAACGGCGCTGAATATACTCAAACCATTTTCTTTATCAAATCGACGCAAGATGGACCCCCACACATCTAAGAATCGAGCATATGTCTGTGTGTGCCATTGTATCTCTTTTGACAATTTCTACGGATGTTCGGTGCGTTTAGTATTGACATTCTGTTAGCTTTGTGTTTGTTAGCACATCGTCTCACAGCACGTTATAACACCGTGTTGTTTTCGAAACAGGCTACAATGACTTTATTGTGAACTATTGCAGAAATTGTCAAATATTTCATGCTGTCTACAGAAACAGTTGTATTTATTAAATCGGATATCACGTCATAGATATAGAATAGAAGTAATGATGATTTTTGCAGTGAATTAAAATTGAAGTAGCTCTGATTGTTTTCTTCCTATGTAATGTGTTTTGCAGTTGCCAATGTTTATTAACTTTCCTAACCTTATTCCAATGTAATAATGTGTAAATATGTTGTCATCTTTCTAATGACTTGTCCTATAAATCTAATTCTAAGTGCTTGTAGTTATGTTTGTATATCTTGTAAGTCAATACCCCCCTTCTAATTCAGATTGGATTAATGTTGAATTTGTATGCTTTGTATTGTTCATTGAAATATGTATTTCCTGATGTGTCAGTTGATTTACTTTAAATTTGTTGGTGGTTTCCCCATATGTTCTCTGTTTATATTGTTTTGGTAATTACTTATCATTCTTTTGTGTTTGTGCTTCTGTACACAAATGTGTGTGCTGTGTATTAGTGCCTGTAAATATTGTTTTAGAGGGTGTTTTGTCTAGGGCTACAGCTTTACCAACGTGTTTTGTATAGGGCTCCAGCTTTACCAACGTGTTTTGTCTAGGGCTCCAGCTTTACCAACGTGTTTTGTCTAGGGCTACAGCTTTACCAACGTGTTTTGTCTAGGACTCCAGCTTTACAAACGTGTTTTGTCT